ACTGGTAAGAGGGATATTGGACGGTAGTTAGACATATTATTACAATCTCCATTTTTATAAACAAGATTAACTTTAGCAATTTTTAACATACCAGGAAAAGTACTGTATTCAAAAGAAGACGATATTAGATTAAATAAGGGTTTTCTAATACATTCAATGACGTGTATTGCTACATTACTAGTAATGTCATCATATCCGCATGACTTATTTCGCTTTAGTTCAGTTAGAGCTTTGTTAAATTCTTTATAGGATATTTTTTCATTTGATATACACGATAGGGTTTTTTTCCAATAAATTCATCACACTTCTTATTTGGCATCACTATTTTTGAACCTAGACTGGGACCAAGATTTACAAAGTGATTGTTAAATTTTTATGGTAAATATCTGATTTATTTGTAATGTATTTATTATCACAAAATATTTTTTGAGGTATGCAAAGAATTTCTTTTTTTCTCTGCCAGTTACTTCATTTATAATCGACCATGTTTTTTTTATGTCAGATTAGAATAATGCATTATTTTAGCTTGTCTAATATTTTTTTGAAAAAACTGTTTATAGGCTTTGTATGTTTTTTCATCACCTTCATCATTTGATTTCAAAAATTTTATATAAAGTTTTTGCTTTCGTTTACACGATTTTATAAGATTACTCGTCATCCATGGATTTTTTAATTCTTTATTTTTTACATCAGATGTTACCATGGGACAGACAGTATCAAAAATACATTTAAAAGTAGCCGTAAAGTTATTAAATGCCTGATTTTGATCCTTAGCTGAGTATACATTTTTCCAGGACTCCTCAAATGGTTTATTTTTTAAATTATCGAGATTTTTTTAGTAAGTTTTCTTTTTGTGACAAGACATTTTTTATTATCATTATTAGATAGAATACTACGTGCAATGTGAAAAATGGGGAAATGATCAGAAAAATCAGCAATTAAAATACCAGATTCAAAATCAGAATTATAAGAGTTGTTTGTTAAAATATTTTCAATGGCAGAAGAGGTTTTTTGCGTAATTCTTGTTGGTTTAAAAATAGTAGGAATTATATTAAATTCAAGTAATAAATCAAAAAAAGATTTAATGTTGGAAAACTTTTCATAATATAAAGCATCTATATTTAAATCACCTGCAAAAAATTATTTTGATTTCCACAAGGCGGTCGATATAATGAGGAAATAAGTTGTGTACTAACCCAAATGATACTAGCATAGTTGATGTAGCAATTAACTAAACTAAAGTATTTTAGTTTAAAATCTTGGGGATATTTATGCATGATCCAACACGATTCATCATGCCAATGGTTTTGCTTATTTTTGATTCAAAATTATTTATGTGAGGCCAAAATAGGTTTTTGTCAATTATAACTCCTAAGAGCTTTATGGATTTTTATTTATTAGTTTTTTCATCATTTTTTATCAAATCAAGGTAATTTAAGAGGTAAACTTTCTTTTTGTGCTTTTTAATTAAATAATGTTAATTGAGTTTTGTTTAATGCATATTGAGTTTTCTATGTTTGGATGTAGTAATTAATTGCTTTTTTAACTGCATGAAATATTTCATTTTAAAAAAATTTTTAAATGAAATATTTCATGCAGTTAAAAAATTTTTTAAAAAAAAATTGCAGTTAAAATATATTTTCCAAAGCTATGACGCATATTTTTGTTGGAATATATATATGTATATATATATATTTATATATGTTGGAATATATATATATATATATATATATATATATATATATATATATATATATATATATATATATATATATATATATATATATATATATATATATATATATATATATATATATATATATATATATATATACTGCCGCCCTAAGTAAAAACGCAGTAAACAACAAAAATGACATTCTGAGAAAAAGCCACTTTTAAATTTTGTTGAACCTTACTTGAATATAATAATTAGACTTTCATGCCACATAGATTATGAATACAAAATACTTCCTTTATTCAATGAAAATTTATATTTAACCAAAACATCAATATATAGGCTGAAAAATCACACACTGCTAATTTACACAATATTTCACAGCCGTCATCCTAGATAAAAACGCAGTATAATCAATACAAAAATGCATGCATACTCCAATATATATTTTTTCATAAATACCAATGTGTTTTTATAAAAGGCATTGTTAATCACAATCTAGCTTGATAATCAATGGTTTCCAAACAAACCTTAATTAATAGTGGAGTTATAACATAGAGCTAGACTGCGTCTAATTAATAGGAAGAATTTTGAGTAAAGAATACTTACAACCAACAAATATGATATTTATAACAACCAGTCCAACCCAGCAACATATTTTTTCCACGAATATCAAATAATACCATTCTCTTACCATTAGTTAGGAGTGCACTAGGGGCTCAAAAACCACAATTTACCCATTATCAAATTAATAATCAGTCTTTCCATCTCTTATTTTGTCAACTTCATTCAAAGTGTGTATAAGGTAGATAAAGTAAATTAGATTTTTTAAAACGTTTTATTAGAATAAAAAAATACATATATAATTGAAAAAATATATAATATAAATGAAATTATATATTTTTTAAATTGTTCCAGAAAATTCTCCTGCTGGCTGGCATTAAACTCGATAAATTCGACAAAATATCATCGATTTTGTCTTGAGCCACCCCACGAGGCTTGTCCAACTGTGGAGGTTTTGATATTTTCTTTGTTGATGATTTCTTACAGAGGAAGTCTAATTGTTTTGTAAACTCCTCCGTATGAGAAGTTTTGTATTCCATTGTAAATTTACCTCTGCGTGTTCTCACTGCTACAATGTTCTTCAGATATATTTTTTCAGAAGATTTCTTTAACTTCTGTTGGGATTTGTTATCTTTCCACATGTATATATCTGAAAATGTCATTTCTTTCACATCCACCTTCCCTTTATTAGCATTCTGTACAGCTTTGGAAAAATCAGGAAAATCGTAAACTTTTTGTTTCTTCATGGAGAGCTCCACCTGATGATGAAAACTGTCGGCACTCATATATGTATGTCCTGGCTCAAAGTATTTTAGTTGTATTTCATCCATATCTACTTCATCACTATTTACAATATATACTAAAAAAGACAGAAGGCACCAATTTTTATTTTGGCTCGAACAATTGTCGAGCCAAAGTGTAATCTTTTTCGAGTCCCTCTGCCTCAAAAAAAAAGCATAAAATGTACTAACAATGTCCTCCTTGTTCCTCCCAGTTACACCTTCATGCCATATACATGCCATGGGAACACCATGTGCTTTCTTCCCAAGAGGAACGAAACTCTCGTGGTAAGCCACTATCCTCTTTGTAAATATAACTTTTTTAAATGCATCCAAACGTGGCAGCATGATGACTTTCTGTAAATCTACAGAGAAAATGCTGCCATCATTGAGCTCCGCATCCTTTTTGTATAATTCTCTTGCTTCTTCATATCTTATCTTGTGATTAATATATTGTTGGCAATCATCACAATCATTATTTAAATTATCTGCATCGTGACCGTGTAAACAAAATTTTTCACAAAATTCACACTCTTCATGGCCCAAAGTTGCAAATGAAATATTTTTTTTCTTTATAGCTAACCTATAATATTCGTATGATATTTGTTGTTCTGGGTATTTGTGTGTAAAATCATTGTGCATCATGGTGATGGTCACATCACTTGGCAAATATCTTCTAATAGGAGCATGTTCCCTCCTGTAATGAGATACAGTTGGTTCAAATGATTCGATGTGCGCATCTATTAAATCGTCATGTTTATACTTCCTATCCGAAACATGTTTGCCACGTCCATCAGCTAATGGGGCTATTGCGGCAGTTGGAGTTTTGTTAAGGACCTCAAATACTGCACGGTCATTATTTGGTTTGTATCCTAGTGTTGTTAGGAAAAACTTCTTGCACACGGACTGCTTGATTGAGTCTTTATTACTGAATAAGTATTTCCAGATGTTTTTTCGTGCACCATCTTCAACACTTTTCCTCTTTACAGGCATGCGATCACATGTATTGAGGATAAATGTCTTCCTCTCCTTCCAGCCTAATTTTAAATATTGGGCGTTAATTTCAATACGTCGTCCCTCATTTATTTTGCTAATGCATTTTTTTTTGCAACAATCAACAATTGGCTTTAGTGCATACTTTGCTTTATATAGTTGCATCTTACGTTCTTTTCTTTCTTTGACACTTAAAGAATTACTTCTGCGAATTCGTATAGTTCCCTTTTTAGTAAATTGGACCGATGGAGATGCAGCTTCGTCCAATGGTTTATCCACAGATTCCTTTAACACTGAAACAAGATAAAATTTAATTATTACTTCGTTTAAGTACAGAACACGGTACAACCTATGTTATACATATAATTTATATGTTATATAAAATATACATAATAGATATACCAATTTCTTCTCCATTTTCCACCACATCCACTCTACTCTTTAAGACATCTTCGTCCATTGAAGGTTGAAGTGTTGTGACAGACTCATCTAAAACTGATAATTTAATGCATTGTATATCTGCATAAAAAATGTCACACAAGTTTTCATATAATAAAAAAAACACGTAATATTCTTACCAATATCTCCTCTATCCTCCATAATTTCTGCCTCATACACTACGACTTCCATTTTATCAACAGTTACTTCAGATACAACTGTTCTAGAATCCTGTAAAAGAAAGGGTAAAACATAACCAAGAAGAACCATACATTAGGTATTTACACAGTTATTTGTAGATTTTTTATAGTGAAACCTTGTGAAATTTGTAGAATATTTATTATTATGATCAATAAACACAATACACATAACCTTAGATACATAAAATAGATTGAGACTACGGAAATATATAAATAAAACACTTACATCTAAAAATGAAGATTTACATTTGTCTGAAGCACGATGTAGCATATATTGAGTCCTTGACATCCAAGTGTTGCAAATATCACACAACATTTTATGATTTTTATAACACTCTACGATAAATTGAATAGTCCTAAATATAATTCACTATAAAAATAATCTTTACCGAAAAAAAAGAAACACCAAATACGAAAACACGAACGAACAACCAACGCACACACTAATCAGATGACGCTTGCAGTTGCAATGACGCCGTATTCGTCATAGATAACCCACGTTTTTGTTTGTGTTGCCAAGTTAAAAAGCAGTAAAGCAATGATACTATGAAAAAATGCAGTACGTACGTTGCAAATACTGCATTTTTAATTTGTATTGCGATAATGCTGCGTTTTTACTAAGTATTACACTATATTTTTTTAACTTACGGCAAAATGAACTATGGGTTTGATGACTTCGGAATATACCACAATATTTTTATATAGAGCGTTATTACACAGAAAACGATGTTAAAACGTTTGGTGCAATAATCTCGATTTTTCAATTTTTGCGATTACTGCGTTTTTTCTTAGGACGGCAGTATATACATATATATATATATTTATTTATATATCCTTTGCCCAATACGTAATTAAATTACAAGTTTTTTGTTTTTTAGCAATAATTATAACAATAGTAATTAAATTTTTAATAGTATTATCACTTTTTTTGTAGATCTATTTTACACTTAGAAAATTTCAAGTAAAATGGTCAACTACATGGTTAGCCACTTATAAAGAGTTTCGTGCATCCTGATCACTTTTTTGTATTATTGTGTGGTATATTATTTTCTTTAATTCACCAGCATCATATTTGTAAAATAAGCAGTCGATATGGATATTTCTTACCAAAATAAGCTTTCTACCCTCAACAAGAAGTATTTTTTAAGATCAATTACTTACCTATAAACAAGAGCGACTAAATCCTGATATGCTGATGACAAAAGTAATACATGAAAACAACAATTTGGGTACATGGCGCGTATATCTTTTTTAGGAAAACACTGTTGTTTTGCGTTTAAGACAAATGAGCACATGGAGCAAAGGCAATAAAAAATTTTTATTTTTATATATAAATTTATTTTAATTATAAACACATTTATTTTATTTTATTAATAAACACATTTTTATTTCATTTTATTTATTTATTTTATTTATAAACTATAAAGTTTATAAACTATAAACTATTTTTATAATTATAAGCTATAAACTATATTTATAAACTATAACTATAAACTATATTTATAAACTATAAAGTTTATTTATAAACTATTTTATTCATAAACTATTTTATTTATAAACTATTTATAAAATAAATTTATTTTATTTATAAACACAAATTATAAAACTATTAATAAAATATCACAGCATCAAAATAATATTACAAAAAGAATAAACTTATATAGCTTGTTAATGTAACCCGAATAAGTAATCTAGGCTTAATAATCGTAATTTATCCATTTAAAAAGATATACACGCTATATACCCAAAACGTTGTTTTCAAGTATTACTATTGTCATCCGCATATCAGGATTTAGTCGCTCTTCCCATAAACCCATCTTTTTATTAATTTGGTTCATAGCATACTCTTTAGCTTTGTTTTGTTTCACGTACCAAAAAATCTGCTTCATTCAAAAATATATAGGTTCAATACTTTTGAGAGTAACATATTTAAGTTCTTCTTTCTCTTCATTTTCAGAATCAGGTTTTCAATCATCTCTAAACATTCTGCAAGAAACGTGATGACATGACAGTCATGATATTTTTTCGTATGGGAAGAGTAACAGTATGCTTTTAAAGTTATCCTTAGAATTACACAAATTACAGTTAATATAGAGTGAAGCAATATTCGACTTTTCTATGCAATGTAAATCATACGTGGTCTTTAAATATCGCTTTTCTTTTTCTAAACGTCTTTCTATATCTTTTATTGTGTTTGTATCTGTAGATGCTTTGGCAACACATTTCATCAGAGAAATAAACCTATTTAAGCCTTCACATATCGTACCACCGAGACCTACTAATGAATGCTAATGAAGGCTTGGTTTATTGATTAAAAAGTTTTCCAGAGCTATGAATCTGATAAAACAGATTGGTATATTAATTTACACTATTTTTGATACGAGTTTGTCGTATGATACTTTAAATAGGACATAACAAGCTTTACATCAACGCATTAAACATAATCAATTTTAAACGGCATCAGAAATCATCACGCACATTACATTTATTATCAGGTATCTAACATTATGTCAGATACCTGATTTTGGTATGGTAAATATATAATTTGTCATCTGAATCTCACGGTTGATTGTTTTGATAATCTTCATGGAGCAATATCAAGTTATTTGGAATAACTTATAATGGTTTCCATAGTCTCAAAAAATTGGCCTCCTTGTCCTGGTGATTTTTTCTGAATAGATTTTTTTGACGTTATCTACAGCTTTATTGAGCTCTCTTTTTTTATAGTTGATTTTAGAAATTGTTGCCTCATCGATATGTGTTTGGCATACCAAACAACTCCCTTGAACATATAGGAATACCTAAAAAGTTCGATGACCGGAGACTTTTTTTTTCATACTCAAGACAGGAAGTAACAATCTTTTTAAATAATTTCTTCCCATTTACAAATTAAAGGACTAAGAAACATTCCTTATTTTAGACACATTCCTGCCATTTGATTTTAACTTTCAGTGATTGCTTTCTGTCAAATATCTCTTATGTTGTTTTAGTACTTTTATTTAGTTTAACTTAAGGACTGGTAAAATTCGTTAAAACTCGGATTACGAATTTCTCTGAAAGGCAAAGTTAAATAAAGTTGAAGTTGAAGATAAACCTTATAGTGGCCATCAATTATAAATAATTTTGAAATAGTTGATTACATGGTTACCGAAATCATGCACAGATGGTTTGCAGCAAGTATCTTCAATATTTAGATTTTTGTATCCTCAGCCTTTTGTGTCCATTTCTGATGACATGCTACATCAATGCACTATAAAGCATACTGCATGTTTTCCTGTCGAACTCTGGCTGTTTTTTAATGTCACTGATTATGAGTAAAGCAATCTTGAAAATTATATTCATTATTTTTTGGAAGGTTATATTCTATATATGTCAAGGCCGCCAAACCGGCCTTCAAAGTAAAGGGGGAGGGGCAACTCGTCAATTTCTAAATAAAAAATAACCTTTTATAAAAAAATAGCCAACATTTCTCAAACAAAAGGTCCTCGAAAAAAAAAGTGGGGATGTATGTGGCCATGTATGTGTAGCGTGAATATGTCAATATTTCCTAAGGTATAAACTACTGCCAATATGCAAAAAAATTCTAAAAAATGGTTGAGAAGATTTTTTAGAAATACCTACATAGAAAGTAAAAAGTCAAGCTTCAATTTAGTTGTCAAGGCTTTCTTCGGATGCATTCTTCAGCAGGATTTCGCTGTTTGGAAACTGGTTCAAAAAAAATTGGAAACTTGTTCAAAAAAAATTGGAAACTGGTTCAAACGTAACACCTAAAATACACGCCGTCTTCTATCACGTCAAGGATTTCATCAGTCACAACGAATCCCCCTTGGGGCTCTATAGTGAACAAACTATCAAAACTTCTTATCAAGATGTTATCAACATTGGTCGAGGTATATGCGAAACAATAATCATCCAGAGTACAAAGAAAGATTGTTGCATTGCATAATTGATCTAAACAGTAACCATCTTTAAAGAACTGCTAAAATAATTTGAGTTAAATAGAGATTAGACAGCTAAAGTTCATGGCATGCGGCTTATAATGAACATTTTTACCGCCTTTAAAAACAGTATTATAGAGTATTTGTATTAAAAGAGTACATTGAGCTATTTGTTAATAAATATTTTGTGGAGAAAATCTAAAAACAAGTCTTAAAATGTAATCAGAAAAAACTACATCCGAAAATTTTTTTTTTTTTTTAATAATGCATTATTTTAACTAGATGTAGTTGAACATCTGGTTTTTTCTTTCGGATGTAACTACATCCGATATAAAAATAGTTTAAAAATAAATTATTTTAGGCGGATATAGTTACGCATCTAGAAAAACTCCCGGATGTTGTTACATTTTTTTAAAAGTGTTATTAGACATCAATGAAATTTCGGAAGTTGTTGGACAGATGTTAATTCAGTAAAGAAAAAAAGCGGATGATCTTGGACAAAAATGTGCGGATGTTATTTCACTACTTCACGGATGATGGACTAATCTTTTCCGTTTTTTATTAACAGAAAATTTAAGACTACCCACCCAATTAGGAAACATCAAAACAAACATTCAAGTTACGGACGCCGTTGGACAAAATTGATTGTCATGAGTTTGATTGAATTCCATAATAAGTGTAGTTGGATTCATTTTAAAATACTTTTTAAACAGTTTTGGGATAAATGGATACTGAAAAACCTCGTTTTCATGCTTTTAGAGGTGTTTTTTTTTCCATAATTTTTGTTTAAATCTATAATTTTATTTCAAAATTTTGTTAAATATTTACAAAAGTAATATGTTGGGCATCATTGTTTTTATAGAAAAAATTTTATTGTGCCTTCCTACGTAAAATTACGTTGAAGTGCGCAGTAAAAATATTTTAATTAGGTTTTGCACTGCTTTTTTAAGTAAAAACATGACGTTATTCATTAAAATAAAAGTTTGCGTATTCTTAGAAAACGCTTTTTAACTCTTATTACGCATGTTTTTGGCAACATGTTTTCACATGTTTTCCCTCTTTTTCCAACGTTTGCCGAATTTCTTTTTAACTCCCTAATAACATTCCCCGCCCCCCTTTTCTCAAAATTTTCCTCCATATTTTTGTTATTTGATGCAAAAATGACTTCCTTGACCTATATATAATTCAAGAAAATAACAGTTAAAATGGTTGATACCAATTTGTTATGAAATTTTCCCTTTATCATTGTTGTCAAAAATTTCTCTTCCCTGTCCAAATTTTTAGAGGTGATTTAATGTGATGAAACTTTTGGAATTATTAAGGACGGTGTAAAAAGAAAATTGGAAGGGGTTACTAGACTTTTCCAGACTAATAAGTCTTTCCAATTTGGCTATATAATCGAGACCAGCAACAGTTTTAATAATAAGGTTGAATTTAATCTGGGTTCCATGTGATTACTAATGAGTTACTCTTTGGCAAAGAGTAACCCATTATATTCAGCAAAAAATCTTTGCTGTATTTCAAATCTAATTAAATGTCAAAATATTTCAAGTGACTAACTTACAAGTGTTTAGTCTAGTCATATGTAACTTAAAATTTTTGAATTAATTAAATATTTGACTGTTATACATTAATAAATTTTTTTAGTATGTTCTACCAAGTTACCTTTAAAAACGATTAGCAACCATGCATTGGATAACTGGGTGATAATATGACTTTAGGTGATGTTAGTTGCACTCTCCCACTCAGTATCAAAATTTAAATAAATTTTATAAGAAGGATATATAAAATGTTGAGCTTTCTTAGCCATGGTAGCAACCACTTAAGAGTGGAAAAACTTCTATAGCTAAAAAAAAAAACAATAACTGGTTTTACTTATAATCTAATTGTGGATATGGGTAAGAAGAACTTATAAACCTTGGATAGTAATCTTCATAGTGGTAGTTTTACAATAAAAATACTCAGTTCTAATCTGCAAAACAGGTTCACAAAACAGGTTAGTAAGAGCATATAATAATCAAAAATTGCTTCAACCTAATTTTTAAGTAATAAAATGGCGTTTTGGAAGTCCATCTTAATCACAATAGATATACAAAATCCATTCATAAATGTATATGTGCTATTCGTTAGTCAATAAATATTGACACAAGTATCAACATTCATTAAAAAAACAGTTACTTTTTTATGAACGTTGATATTTGTATTATTATTTATTAACAGTCTAATTTAAAAGAAACTTTCTTTTAATTAGTATGAATAATAGCTTCAATGATTATTCAACTCAATGATTTTCTTTGCGAAAAACAACCAAACTTATTTTTATTGGTTAAAAAAAGGAGTGAGCAGTTTACAAATTTGTTTCCTTACTATTTGTGGGTAATTTTTTGAGTGATGAAATTTTAAAGTATGATGCTTGTTTTGAAATTTTTCAAGGTAATGACAATGTTTTAATAAATAAAAGTAAAGAAATGTGATGTTCATTTTTCAGTCTTTTTTTTTTTCACTAAAGGTTTGCAGGTTTGTCAATTTTTCAAGCCATTATATATATTTTTGTAGATTTAGGTCAGCACTGTCGTAATGTATTTTGCATACTTTAAGTTTTAAAATGTTGACTTATATCCTGACAGGTTTTTCATAGTAAGGAGAAAAACCCTCTCAATAAAAAATAGAAACAAGCTCATTAACAAATATTCTTTGTAATGCATTCTAACAATAGCAAGTGTTATATAAAAAGGTTAGCAAAAGATTAAGTTTAATCCCAGAAAAAATTGCATTTGTTTGTTGTTAAAACAAAAATGTTGTCTGTTTTGATCAGAAATTTATTTAACCCTTTAAGTATTTGTATTCAATTTGTTACCTTTTTTATTAATTTGTACTCGCTACATCAAGAGTTGCTAACTATATGTGGCTTGAATATAAATCTAAATATGTTAAAATTATGTACAATGTTAAGTCACATAATTTACTTACTGTTATTTACATCATTTTAAAGAAAAAAAAAATTATTGTATTTTTGTTATAATGTGTCTAACAACTAGCTATTCTTATTTTTTGGAAGTAACAGTTTGTTTAAAGAATATTTTATTGGATTTCTTTCATTAAGTAAACTTGCAGGGACTAAATTTTCTGCCAAAAACTTATTCACAAAAGCTTTACTTAAATTTGAAATTATAAAATTTTGTGCTTGTTTTAGATACTTGTTTAGGATTTTAGCTTATTTATGTAAGCCTCAAGAAAAAGAAACAATACCTTTAATTCTAATGGTTTAAGATGTTTTTTCGGCTATCAGCGCTTTTGTACAATTTCTACAGTTGTACCAAGAAAAAATTTGTTATAGTGAAAATACTTGATACACTATATACTGAATCAGTAAGAAATATTGAATCAGTAAGAAAATATTTTACATTTGAAAATTACAAATATGTTTAGTCTTTTGGTAGTATGTTATAAATATGTGAAGTTAATTTGTCAAAACAAACAGGAAACACATTTTGATTTTTAAGTATTTCATGCTTTAAGTATTTCCTTCTTTATGTATTTTACTGAACAACGGCAAAACAGAGCACACTCAAAAACCTCTTAATGATAACAACGGAAAGTCCTGAAAATGTTTTATTGAGGAATTAAAAAATAAAACTCAAACATCTGAGTTAAATTGTAAATTAGGGTGACACAGAAACATAAAAAATAAATTTTAATGCTGAGGTGTCCTATGGATTTCACTAACTAATATGAATTCCCATGGAAAATTTCAAGTATTATAGGTGCTTGTAACAGCTACAAGTAATTCATTTTTAAGAGGTTTTATTATATAAACATGTATTATAAAATAAAACCTTTCATTCATATTATTTTATTCATAATCAATTAATTGGACTCACCACCCCTATTACTGTCTGCTATTTATATAAATACTCTATACACATAAAAGCAAAGTTGATTTTTGTTTTTTTAAATTTACTAAATATCTAAATCAATTATTTGTTTAAATTTTTGAATACTTCAGAAAAATGAGAATTAAAACTCCAATAAGAGCTGTATCACTCATCAATTACAACCCAAGAAAGCCTATTGACTTCCTAAAACTCCACAAAGTTTTCTACCTAGCAAGCAATTACCTACTAATGGTCGTGTTAATCGATACTTTCTGTATCTTATTTTTCATAAGGTTAAATGATTAATGCCAATCAGGACTAATTTTTCTTGCACACAAAAGACATCTTGTGGAGATATGAATTGCAAATGGAATGATGAACCTTGCACTACTGTGTCAGAAGAATACTGTTTGCTCCTGATTGTTGTAAATATTTGGGCCTCCTGTAGTTTTCATAACTATGTTGTTTCTAAAGTAAACATACAAAGAAAGTTCCTTGGAATTTAGAAACAATATTAAGCTGTTATTGTAATCAGAAGTTTTTTTTTAATTAAAAGACAATTTAAATAAAACAAAATATATCTCGAAAGCAGCACTTTTGCAATGAACCAACCTCCCTAATAAACCTAAATCAAGAATTTTTTAATAATTTAGTCTTGAGGCTGTAATAATATAATAATTTATTTTAGATTGCTGGTTGATGAAATTTTCAATCTGTTAAGGGTGTGTAGTCTGTAATAAATATATGCTTCAATTTGAATTTAAAGCTCATAGAATGTAGGAAGAGAGTTCTTGTTGATAGGGTAGCAGTATCTAGGCTGTTGATAGGCTAACAGTATCAGTTATAAGTCCTAAGTTTTCAGTAACCAGTGGTTTACTTCTTGGGGTTATTCATGTGGATAGTAGAAAAGCTAATAATATGACTATTGTACTCCAGAATCTGGTAGATTACTTTAGATTATTATAAATTACTTTAGATTACTATAGATTACTTATCAGAGAATATCTTTGATGTGTGTACTTACACAACAGTTGCAAACACAGGAAAAAAATCATATGCATTTGTGACCTTATTCAGAGTTTTGGGACAACCAGTTCTTATGTTTGTGTCAGCGCCATACAGCTAAGATCCATTTAAAATAGGGCATTAAAGGTATTTTCAAAGAACAAATTGTAGGACTTTTTAAGCAGATGTATAAAGATTTAAAGCTGGCTAGGATGGTATCACTAGGATGGTTAATACTAATTATTAACTTCCAGAGTAATGATCAAAAGAAACTAGTTTCCAAGGCTAATTTATTGATGCCCTATTCTTTTATCCTTAATTTTTTAATATAGAAATGACCTTAAGGCATACAAATTTAAAAAATTTTTTAAAATCGTCCTAAAAGATTAGGATTTTTATGTTTGTAGTTCTTTATTAAAGTCTTAAGAACTTGTTATCCTTCCCCAAAGTGTGTTACTATGGCATTGGCTGATCCTGATCTTGACAGGTCTAAATTGCTGTCATTTTTTTTTGGTAGGGAATGTAAGTAGTTTCCTACTTATATTCCCTATCAAAAAAGAAAGATTTAAGCTTAGAGATATATATATAAGCTTAGATATATATATATATATATATATATATATATATATATATATATATATATATATATATATATATATATATATATATATATATATATATATATATATATATATATATATATATATATATATATATAAATGCTATATATAAATGCTATAGATGTAAAAATACTATAAAAAAACTATTAATACTAGGCTTTATTTAAATAAATGTTTTTGTGAAGAATAGAAAGATTTTTAATGGTTTGTTTTACTTTTTTATGTATAAGTTACTTATCTTCTTTAATTTTGTCTATTATGGGACAGTTTTGCTGACTTCATCTTTTTTCATATCACAGTGATGTTTTCATCATGTTTTTATTGATGGTTTCATATCACAGTGATTTTTTTTGTAATAATTAATAATAATTTAGTAGCACTTTTACAAGTTCAGGATCATGAGCTATGGTGATAGTGACTTACCTAGAAGAAGGAAAACTCTGATATAAAACCTCCAATCTAATTATGGTTAAGGTTAACGGGAACTCATAAAGCTTTAATGGTAATCTTTTAAATTCCAGCTAAAGCCAATATATCCATCAAAAAAAACTCTGCATAAACCAGTATATTCATAGGTAAAATGTATAGAAAAGTTCCAGCAAAAACCAGTATATCCAAGTTAAAATATATAGAAAAATTGTTACAAAACATTTAAGAAGTTTTACTGTTCAAAAATTGATAATGATAAAAATAAATTTAAATGACTTTTATATTATGTTAAAACCTATATAGCATTTAACATATTTAAATTGTATGATTTTTTTTTGCAAAGTTTATTGTAAAGTTAGATTGTTTACACAATTGTTTACATTGCAACTTTAATAGAAAAAATAATTCTATCCAATTTTATTAGAAATGGAAAAAATGTTGCATAAAATTAAAAGTATCAGTTTCGTTTATTTAATATGTTTTTCAATATTTTTATTTTTAATTAATTTTTAGTTTATTTTTGTTTGAAATAATTTAAAAACAAAGTGTGGTTACAAAACAACCAAAAAATAAGATTATATAATAAAAAATGGCTACTCAACTTCAATAAAGAAAAATATAAATTTATGTATATCTGCAAAAAATACTTGAACTGTTATTATTTTATATGGAGTACATTCTATATAATTTAGCAAATTGTTCCAGTTATGCAAGCGCCATGCTATAGAGAGATCTTGGTGTTATGATATCAATCATGGGAAAAACACATCAACACTATAGCTGCAAAAGCTATTAGAAAGCTTGGCCAGATAAATAACTCTTTTTGTCAAATAGATGAAAGTTCAATGAAATTATTATTTCATTAGTTTGTCCACAGTTGGAATTCGCAACACCTATATGGAATCCTTATTACCAAAAAAACAATGTTAAACTTGAAAACATACAATTTTTATTTAAGTTGTTTGTGTGACCCTACTACATAGGGCTACATAAATAACTAGTTTAAAGAGTGTTTTCTATAAAGATAGACTTAAGGCATTTAATTTGACCACTTTAAAAACAGGAATATCAAGAGGATATAACATGGTTTCAATATTATAAAATAAGTAAAATTATGACTAAAGTTAAATGGAATCATTTTCTTAGAATAACTAAGTGCACAATAACAAGAAGTCATTCACAATAAAACACAAAAATAACTTATATGCTCTACCATAAGATTTACTTTCTTCACAAATAGTTTACAAATGAAATGGTTTAACAGAAGATATAAATTCAGATAATGTAAATGTCTTCAAGAGCAAGTTTGAAGTAGTGCATTAATTTGAAACCAGAAAGGCCTAAATAAACTAGATAACATTGAGTTCTATCTAGTTATATTAGAGGCAATCACATATAATGTTGTTTTTAACTTAATAAACTTCTTTAATAAGTGTAACAACAGTTTTACTTTACTATTTAAAATGTAGAGATATTTTCAATGGAGCTATATTATTTTTGTGAAAGTTTTTATTTTGAAAACAGTCTAATCTAAATTAAATCATTTAAAATATTGAAGTATAGATAAAAGCTGATAACTACATAAAAAAAGTTTTTCCTTAAAGTTTTTTCTAAAGTTTTTATAATAATAACTTTTTTATTCATTACCTGCTTTGTTCATTTTTAATTCTTTTGACATAACATTATTTTTATGATGTTTTATCTTGTTGGTTTTTTTGACTTTGCAACTTATGTTTTCCATTGAATTTTATATGATTTACTTTACATATTTTATCTGGTATTTTAGATGCTTTACATTGCATGATATTGCACATTTTATTTTAAATTATAAAATATAACAATCTTATTGTACTATGATACTTTTTGTTGCATAAATATGTTTTAATTTAAACTAATTTGGTTTTGAATTTAAATTATTCTAAAGTAAAATCATTTTTTACCTCTATTAATTTTTTCATTTCTTATTAACGCAGATTAAATTTATTTTGGCAATACAAATAATTTTTTTTTTTTCAGGCTATTATAGATTTCTTGTGCTGTTTTTTAATTGCTTGCTCACATTTGGGTCCTATTTCTGCTTTGATATGCCAAGGTTAGTTTACTTCTGATTTTTTTTCTGTGTTTAGTTAAAAATTCTCTATAGCAAAATTCTCAAGCGCCATGCTATAGATCTCTCTATAGCATGGCGCTTGCAAACTGGAGTCAAAAATTAAAAAACAATAAATTTTATGTTTTTCATTTTAGTGTGTTACAGGAAAGCTTTACAGGAGTATGTTTTTATTTATTAATATTTTTGTTTGTAAAATTTCATAATATTGTTTTTAAAAAAGTTTAGTTTATTTTAATTTCAGTTTATTCTAATTCAAAATTTTATATTGCTTAAGCATGTTTGTACATAATTATTCATTATGCAATACTCTTGCTACATTAAGTTGATCATGCAACACTCTTGCTTCATTTAAACCAAAAAGTTTTCTTTCTGATACTTGAGTTACTTTTGTTTTAGTAATACAAAAAAAAAAAAAAAAAAAAAAAAAAAAATTAAATTCTAAGTAAAAATTAAAAGTAAAAAAATATTTGATTTGATTTTTGAAATTAAAAGTATTGAGTTTTAAATGTTTTTATAAATAGAAAATTTCAAAGTTCTACAAAGTATTACTGAATTCAATCTGCATAACAATTATGTTTTTTAACTAACAATGTTTTATTATTAATGTTGTTATATTTTGTTCTAATGTGTATATAAAAGTTGAGAGTTATTTTAAAAGGTGAGGTACTTGTCACTGTGAGGCTGCTTGTTGCTGAATATATTTGAAGCATTTTGTAGCTGATTTTATATAAATATTATAAACTGGAGTTGCAAATGCTATCTGATATACACTGTGTACAATTTTTGTCCATATATAAATGTCTCTCCTGATGAATGAATATTTTATCCGTCCTATATAAGCTTCGATGTAGTTTCGGAAGCATGTATATCCCAA